CAATGTTACAAAAAATGAACAAATTAAGAGAAGAGAATAAATTTTGTGATGTTACAGTTCTCATAGATGATATTGAGGTACAGGGGCATAAAATTGTGTTTGCTGCAGGTTCCCCCTTCTTAAGAGACCAGTTTTTACTGAATGATTCCAGAGAGGTGAAAATCTCCATATTGCAGAGTTCCGAAGTGGGGAGACAATTGCTCTTATCCTGTTATAGTGGTGTGCTGGAATTCCCTGAGATGGAACTGGTAAATTACTTGACCGCTGCGAGTTTTCTTCAGATGAGCCACATTGTAGAACGGTGCACACAGGCCTTGTGGAAGTTTATAAAGCCAAAACAACCACTGGATAGTAAAGAGGGATGTGAACCACAGAGTGCTTCTCCCCAGTCAAAAGAACAGCAGGGAGATGCCAGAGGCTCCCCAAAGCAGGACTCACCTTGTATTCATCCATCTGAAGACAGTATGGATATGGAGGACAGTGATATTCAGATTGTTAAGGTAGAATCTATTGGGGATGTATCAGAGGTTAGAAGTAAAAAAGATCAGAACCAGTTTATTTCTTCTGAACCCACTGCTTTACATTCATCAGAGCCCCAGCACTCCCTGATAAATTCAACTGTGGAAAACAGAGTAAGTGAAATAGAACAAAACCATCTCCACAATTATGCCCTCTCTTACACAGGCAGTGATAACATCGTCTTGGCCTCAAAAGATGTCTTTGGGCCTAATATTCGAGGTGTAGACAAAGGCCTACAGTGGCATCATCAATGCCCAAAGTGTACCAGGGTGTTCCGTCACCTGGAGAACTACGCCAACCATTTAAAAATGCACAAACTCTTTATGTGTCTACTCTGCGGCAAGACTTTTACTCAGAAAGGCAACCTTCATCGACACATGCGTGTGCATGCCGGCATTAAACCTTTCCAGTGTAAGATCTGTGGGAAAACCTTTTCTCAGAAGTGTTCCTTACAGGATCATCTTAACCTTCACAGTGGAGATAAGCCCCATAAGTGTAACTATTGTGACATGGTTTTTGCACATAAGCCAGTTTTGAGGAAACACCTTAAACAGCTGCATGGCAAAAACAGCTTTGATAATGCCAATGAGAGAAATGTGCAAGACCTCACAGTGGATTTTGATTCTTTTGCATGTACAACAGTTACAGACTCTAAAGGGTGTCAGCCACAGCCTGATGCAACACAGGTCCTGGATGCAGGTAAACTGGCCCAAGCTGTCCTGAACCTAAGGAATGATAGTACTTGTGTGAACTGAGTAGGGGCTTTATGCTCAAAACTAGAAGTGACTGAAAACGTGGCAATAGTCTTGAGTGTTTTTAGAAGAGATTTTGCTAGCTTGACTTCTCCAAAGCCTCTGTGCAGGTTGTAGAATGAATCAAAGTACTAACAGACCAGGCAACTTACCACTTGGAGTGGTCTTGCCTTCCTTTTGCCCTCTCCCATTTTCTGTTTTGAATTATCTTGTGATGCCTGTCTTCCTTTCCCAAGGAGTATTCCATTTGTCTACCTAACATTGACTTATGTTTTAGACTGACACATTTTAGGCTTTTCACTGGACACATTCGGAAGGCACCAACAAGTTAATAACATCACCTGCAATCCACTAATGGATGCTATGCTAAGAGAAGTGAATAATATTTTTCTTTGGCAGAAAATAGGCTAAGATATAAAGTGATATTGCTATTGGCCTGACTATGTGATAGAACTTCTGGTTGCCTACTTATAATTCATCTATGAATGAATGACTCCCTACTGTTTGTACTTTTCTCGGAACTGGCTATAAAGAAGTATTTTAAGTTGTTCAGCAGTCTTTTCAACAGCATTATGGCCCCCAACTTTATGTCACTGAATTGTTCACACAGACCAGAGTACAATCTTTCCGGCAACACCTGCAGGCATAGTTAGGTATCACCATGAGGAGCATAATCAACAAAGAATAGAAGTACCTTTGTACAACAATTTAACATGAGACGTCTTCCTCAAAAGAAGCCAAACGCTTATTCATGTGTAACTTATTGATGCTTTTTAAGTCAGGATGCTCCAAGCATACTTAAAATGTGCTAAAGTATAATAGTCTCTCTAAAAAGAAGCTATTTAGGAGTCAGTCTTTGGACTCTGCTTTAGAGGTTAGCTATCAGAGAGGTGGTTAGCCATCAGAAAGGTGTTTGGGCTTCAGAGTTTTGTTCAGTGTATTCTAAGAGTCTCTGAATTCTCATTTTCTCATGTACCTTAATTTCTAAAATGGATGAAAAAAATGGGTTGTGGAATGAGCAACCAGGCTTTTGCATTCAGATATTCCTATAGCCCCACCTTGCTATGTTTGATAGATCGCTAATACAAAGTTGATCTTCCAAGTATGGTAAAACAGAACAACTGTATGTTGTAGTTCAGAAATAAAATTTTGAGTCTTATTAGTTTTTGACCCATGAGTTAGACATAGGTAATAGAAGTGTTAGAGTCCTTAGAGAGTCTTAAGAGATAATTTACTCCACCTCTCTCTCTTTTTTTTTTTTAAGTTGGGGTATTAATAGCCCAAAGAGGTGGCCTGGCCAAGGTTGGCCAAATAAGATAAGTGACTAAATATGAGCTAATGTCTCCTCATTTTTTCTCACTATCCCTTTGCTTAACAAGATCTAGTACATAATCAAGAATACATTAGCAAAAAGCTCACCTTTGTGAATCCCTATTGGCTTTCTAAGACAGCCTGGATTTTGCAAACAAAATATCACAGGAGGATTTATTTTTGTTATTTTTTAGTTAGAATAAATATTACATTCTTCCCAATCAAGTGACTGATTTGCTGGGTATTAGGGAGGGAAAGGACAAATAAGAATAAGTGTGAGAAGGATCTAAATGTGAAACTGATTTTGTCTGGAAACTGTTTATTTAATTTCCATCAGGATTTTGTTTTCATGTTTGAGCTATGAGAGTGCATATACCAATAAACCAAAAATTAGGTTTAACTTGAGTAGTCAGGGAATTCCTAAAGTTGTTATAATTTGATACATTTACATGTGAATCTGACTTGAGGTATTATTTCTACCTTTTGTTAAAAGATTTAAAATGAGAATAAAATTGAGTGATAAGACTAATAGGTATCTTATGCCGAAGGTCACTCATTATATGGTCTAATGATGCTGCCAAGCATTCCAGTTTTTATATGACCCAGGCAGAGTACCAGTTCTCTGCAACAGTGTGACATTACCATGTTAACCAACAAGTCATTATTTCCTTTGAACATCATTTTGGCATGGAAATTTCATGCTGGAGTGCTTCCTTTGTTTATATTCATGTCCTGTTTTTGTTACTGGTTTGAAGACTAAAAGTCATGGGTTCAAAATAGATTGCTCTCTTTGGTTGGAGACTATTTGCTGGGTTCATCTAGTCATTCAAGAAGCATTTATTGAGCACCTACTATTGCCAGGCACTATGCTAGATGATGAGGATATGAAGGTAAGATTGCAATGATCCCTGCTCTCACAGATCTTACAGTTTCATGTAGTCTTAGGGAGCTCAGATATCAATTTGATTTTAAACTAAGAGTAATAAAGGAAACTGCCTTGCTTTTTTTGATCACTTAAAGTCAGCATCTAGATGGTTTTGTATCTGTAAAAGCTATAGTTCTCACCTTTTGTACTGCAAACCTCTTGGCTGGTGCGGTGTTCTGTTTCTGTGAGACATTTTCTTAATTTTGGTGGGATTTTACTTTTCTCCTTTGTTTATACATGTTTCTTAGATTGTATTGCAAAGTGGTCAAATTATTGATATCAAGTAAGTTTTATAGAGGAAGATTTTTAAAAACCTTAGTTACTCAGCATTTGTATTTTATGGATCCCCAGGAAAACTAAAAAGGGGAGAACACTCTTTACCATAGTTGGTTTAAAAAAGATACTGTATCACAGTTATTTATTTATTATTTAATTTTAAAGACAAACTCCAAACCGAAGCAGCTCTGAGGTAAATCAGATGTGGTTTTAATTTGTTTTAGTTTCTTTTTTAGAAAATCTGTAAGTGGAGGGTGACCAGTGTCACTACTTTTAAATATTGTCCTAAAAAAACAACCTAGAACATTTTATTTCAGCTGGTGAATAGCTGTTTTAAACCTGTTGTATGTTAGACATACTATGAACTACCTCTTCACTTATTATGGGGAAGTTTCCTTAATAAAAGTGTGACAATTAAAGCTCTGGTGTGAGTAGTTTATTTTTTCTCCCCTCCTTTCCTTTTCAATTGCTTGAATTTGAATACAGGAATACTTCCTTCATCCCTATTCTTTAATATGCTGAGCTTGGCTTCAGAACCAAATATGAGTTAACCAGAAATTGTTTCTAAGGTCAGTTACTTAAATGAGAGCCTGTTGACTAAGGGGTAAAGCAACTGCTTTTAAGAGCTGGTTCAGAAATTCCTTCATTTGGCAAATACTTGGATGCCTACTGAGTGCTAGTCTTGGGGAATGTAAAGATCGGTAAGGCACTGCCCCAAGTACCTCTGCTTAGATGGGACGCAGATTTCAATACCGGAATGATAATTGCAATAATGAAGGCAACCAAAGGGTTGGCTTGACAGGCTCCCAACTAGGAGCCAGCTAATTCAAGGCAGTTACTGGTGGCTTTAAGGATGAGGGGATTTTGAAGGGTAAGTGGGAGGAGGGATTGGGCATATGGAAGAAAACAGTGGATGAGAGGCTTGGGTTTGCCCAAAAACGTGGGCGGGGCGGGGGGTGAAGGTGAGAAGGAAGCGACAGAGTAAAGGAAGAGAGATCCAGAGGTTGGGGCCAGATCCTGATGGGCCATTAGCTAGGCAATCTCGGATACTGATCCCCATGGCAGTCTCCTCCCCTTCCTCCGTCACCTTTTACATTGCAGGCGGCCCAGTAAAAGGAGAGGACCTGGCCATAAGAATCCGCGAGGGCCTCCCTGTGGTCCCGGCGCGGGGTATTCTGATGGACGCACTGTACCCCAACTTCACAAGCCTCCTGCGATTCGGAGGTTGGGGAGAACTCAGAAGGGGAATTGGCTCCCGTACTGATCAGGGACAGGAGAAATGGGATTTGCCGGCACTGAGCGTCTTTCTGTCGTTCCGCAGGGGTGGGGGAGTGAGGAAAGGAGGATGTCTCAGAATGTCCTTCCGGTATGCTCAGCCCGCCCCCTGCGGGGTCAAGGTGGTTGACACCGGATGTATTTCCTTCCAGACTAAGCCCACCTTCCGGTCCGGGTCCTTCGCTGCGGAAACGTCGGTTCTGGTTTTCCGAGTGGGTGAGTGAGCGGCAGGGAGACGCGACGGGTGGGGAAGCCCCACGAGGAGGAGGAGGAGGAGGAGGGCAGCTGGGTGCTGCCCGGCGGTGGCTGGGCTGGTCCTGTCACCACCTGGTCGACAGGGCCTTGGTCCTGTTGGGCTTGGCTCAGGAAGACCTGTGGCAAGCTGGCGGCTCTTCCCGGCCACGGGGAACCCAGGTTCAATTCCGCAGACGTTCCCTAAGCTCTTCCTGCTCTGTGCCGGCCCCCGGCGTTCGCTGCAGGAACTCGGCTGAACGAGGCGCTGTTTCGTGATGCTCTGGGAGCAGCCGACTCTTAAGGGGGAGACAGGAGGCGTCTAGGAAGCCTTACTTGATTTAGGCCTTAAAGGAGCCAAATCGCTAGCTGGAAAAAGTAACTGGGGCGTAACATGTGCAAAGGTGCATTCGGGGGTCTTCTTGCCTGGGCAATGGTGAAAATATGAATATCAAAGAGACTTCCATGAAAAAGAGTAGAGAAAAGATAAAGCTATAAAAGTGCTTAAGGCCAAATCATGAGTGACCTTTTATTTCCTAAAAAGGTTAGCCTGTCCCGTAGGTAGAGGACAGCTGGAGAGGGGGCGGGGGGAGAAAAGTTTTGAAAGATGTCAATTTGCCCTAGCCAGTTTGGCTTAGTGGATGGCGCGTTGCCCTGCGGACTGAAGGGTCCCGGGTTCAATTCCGGTGGAGAGCACATGCCCGGGTTGCAGGCTTGATCCCCAGTAGTGGGTGTGCAGGAGGCAGCCAATCAGTGATTCTCTCTCCTCATTGATGTTCCTATCTTTTTCTCCCTCTCCCGTCCTCTCTGAAATCAATAAAAATATTTAAAAAAATAAATAAATAAAAGATGTCAATTTTGGTGGCACTCAGTAGGGTAGTTTGGAATATAAGAGACTGGTATCAAGGAGAACTTTTGGAAGACATGGCAGTGGTCCAGGTGAACAGAATAAAGACCTGCAGTAGTGATGGGGAGTCTACAGTTTGGAGATTACATTAAGGTTTCTAATTTGGGAAACTTACAGCCATTTAGTAGTGGCATTAACTAGACAAGGCACATAAATTTAGCCAAGGAGAAAAATACAGAAACTGTTAACTACAATTCAATATAATATAAATGCTGTAACAAAAATATAAAAAATGTGCCACAAGATCAGAGAGAAATGCGTTTTAATTTTTCTGGATTTTGAGGTTTAATTTTCTGAAATTTATTCTTAGCACCCAGATTAAAATTTGAGTGAGTATTCTTTTACCCAATTCAGGTTTGGGATTTTAAAATTCTGTTTGTTTTTACTAGCACAGTGTAGGAAAGCATTCCTTATCCTTACAGCAATGTTTGTATTATATTTTGCTTAGATTTTGACCATGGCTGCGGAGTCTGATGTTCTGCACTTCCAGTTTGAACAGCAAGGAGATGCAGTCTTGCAGAAAATGAATCTCTTGAGACAGCAAAATTTATTTTGTGATGTATCAATTTATATTAATGACACCGAGTTCCAGGGGCACAAGGTGATATTAGCTGCTTGCTCCACTTTCATGAGAGATCAGTTTTTACTCACACAGTCAAAACATGTCAGAATTACCATCTTGCAGAGTGCAGAAGTTGGCAGAAAATTGTTGCTCTCTTGCTATACTGGAGCACTTGAAGTGAAAAGGAAAGAGCTTTTGAAATACTTGACTGCTGCTAGTTACCTTCAGATGGTTCACATTGTGGAAAAGTGTACAGAAGCTTTGTCAGGATACCTGGAAATCGACCTTTCTATGAAAAACAACAATCAACATACCGACCTGTGTCAATCCTCTAACCCAGATGTTAAAAATGAGGAAGAAAATACAGATAAAGACTGTGAGATCATCGAAATTTCAGAAGATAGTCCTGTAAACATAGATCTCCACGTTAAAGAAGAGGAAAGCAATGTGTTGCAGTCTACAGTAGAGAGTTTGACATCAGAGAGACAGGAAATGAAGTCACCAGAGCTGTCTTCAGTTGATATAGGTTTTAAAGACAATGAAATTTGTATCCTCCGTGTGGAATCTATAAATACCGATGGTGTAGAAAATGGGCAGTTTTCACAGCCTTGTACCTCTTCAAAAGCAAGCATGTATTTCTCTGAAACACAGCATTCACTGATCAATTCTACGGTTGAGAGCAGAGTGGCAGAAGTTCCTGGGAATCAAGATCAGGGCTCATTTTGTGGGAATACTGAAGGAAGTCATGGAACAGCAAATGAGATTCAGAACCTGGAAGATATTTATTCACTGAGGCACCAGTGCCCCAGGTGTCCACGAGGATTTCTTCATGTTGAAAATTATCTGCGCCACCTTAAGATGCATAAACTGTTCTTGTGCTTACAGTGTGGGAAAACATTTACACAGAAGAAAAATCTCAACCGGCACATTCGAGGGCACATGGGCATACGGCCCTTTCAGTGTACTGTGTGCTTGAAGACATTTACAGCTAAAAGCACGTTGCAGGACCACTTGAACATACATAGTGGGGATCGGCCATACAAATGCCAGTGTTGTGACATGGATTTCAAGCACAAATCTGCCCTGAAAAAGCATGTGACCTCTGTGCATGGCCGGAGCAGTGGTGAAAAAAATACCTATTCATGATCTCAAAAAACAAAATCTATTATAAGTAGAATCACACCTTGCTATGGAAGCTATGTTAGGCAAGTCTTTCTATAGAAATGCAACATTTGTAATATTGTTTTCCTCCTCATCTTTGGGTCTTATTTTTGGTCTGCCTGTACATTATTCTTTCTGAACTTATACTAAGAGTTCCAAAGTGTGGGAGACATGATAAAGCTGATGGAATGCTATCTCACATCTTGTGTTATATAAGTCCCAGTTGTATACCTAGAGAAATACTGTTCTTCTCTTAAATATTATTGATTCTAATGACAGCGGATCCAGCAGAATTTCCATATTCAGATTTTGAGTATCTATGTAGTTGATGGAAGTGTAAAATAACCTAGCCATGTAATAACTTTAATGAGTTAAGATAATGGAAAGATAAAATTTAAAACATCCTATTATCCATTATTAGTCACTTTAAAATCAGATAGGACTAACAAATTTTTTAACCTACTGCTTTTGGATTGCAAACTAAACACCAAGGTACCTGTTGTTATAAAATGTAAAAGAACATAATTCATATTCACTTGGGAATAGCAGAATTTCCTTATACCTTTCTTAAAATACTATTTCCATGGTTTGTTAGTATACGTATTTTATAAATTATTCATTAGGCCCAAATGTCTTGATTTTATTTAATGCAGTGGCATCTAATAATTTTGTGGCTAGTAAAAACATACCATTGGTTTGAAGCTCTAAAAAATTACTTTTAGAAATCCCAACTTAACCAAAGGTATTTGTTACACCTTTTTTGTTGTTGTTGTTAAATATATTTTTATTGATTTCAGAGAGGAATGGAGAGGGAGAGAGAAACACCAATGATGAGAGAGAGTCATCGATCAGCTGCCTCCTGCACATCCCATACTGGGGATCAAGCCCGCAACCCAGGCATGTGCCCTGACTGGAAATCGAACCGTGACCTCCTGGTTCATAGGTCAACACTCAACCACTGAACTATGTCGGCTGGGCTACCCTTTTATCTTCTAGTTAACATAGTAAAGTTGACCTTTGTCAAATTTGTATCTAGGTAATAGGAATGGTATGCTCAAAACACTTGTAGCAGACATCTCTGAGGTCATTAGACAGAGGAACACTTTCCATATCTAGCTCCTTCTCATTTCTCGTTTCCTTTCTCGAACAGTGATCCCGTCTGCTAAATGATTTGCTTTTGGTATACAGTTTCATGAATCTTTTTTTTAAAAATATATTTTATTGATTTTTTTACAGAGAGGAAGGGAGAGGGACAGAGAGTTAGAAACATCCATGAGAGAGAAATATCGATCAGCTGCCTTCGCACACCCCCTACTGGGGATGTCCCCGCAACCAAGGTACATGCCCTTGACCGGAACCGAACCTGGGACTCCTCAGTCCACAGGCCGATGCTCTAGCCACTGAGCCAAACTGGTCAGGGCCAGTTTCATGAATCTTAACACATATATAGATTTATGCAACCACCTCTGTAATCAAAATACAGAACATTCTATCACCACCGCTAAACTCCTTTATGCTACCCTTTTGTAGGCAGTTCCTCCTAACTCTACACCCTGCCAATAGTTCTTCAGTATATCTTGCCTTTTCTGGAATGTCATAAATGGAATCATAGCATGAGCTCTTTTGAGATGCTTCTTTCACCTAGCATCATGCCCTTTGAGATTCATCCATTTTGTATATGTTGTTAGTCCATTCCCTTTTCTTTCTGAACTGTCATACATATTAATTTTCTTGTTATCACTAGATAAACAGTTTAAAGATGGAAATCTTAGTGTTTTCTTAATTATTAATAGTCATTAACATTAATGCAATTTTTATTTACTATATGTTGACAAAAAGCTTAACTATCTTTAGAGTTTTATGCTATATTTCCAGAAATGTGCCAAAAGCAAAACCATGACCATATGGTTATTTTACTTACAGTAATATTTCAGATTGTGTTATGAGCCATTGCTCTCCAATAGCCTTGTCTACATTTAACACAAAACTTTGTTGTCATAACACAGATTAAAATATATTGCAGGGCAAGTCATATCTTCTAAAAGACAGGAACCACTTTTAGTAAAGAAGCCTGACTGGATGCATCTTACTTTCAAGATGTTCTATTCCTCTTCTACTCACCTCAGCTTTATGTAGCATTTCTGCTATATTTAGTATCAGTTGAAGCCCTTCCATATTTTAATATGTAATATACTTTGTACCATTTATAAGAATTTTGTGATGAATCACATGTTGATTGTTATAAATGTTCATTATCCTTTTTGTGATACTTGTGAAAAATATATTTTCTATAGAATTTTAACTCTGAGAGAGACTTTAAAGAATCTAGCTCTCATATTTGATAAGAAAGCCAACTTCATGACCCTTCAGGTCACCATTTAGTATCATTGGACAGGTCACCTCTTGTTGAGCTTCTCTTAAATTTATATGCAAAATAATAACTTTGATCTTGACCATTTATAGATCATTTCCAAGTCTAAAATTCTGTGATTTTATATTTAAATCTTCCAGAGTTCCTAAGAACAGAGAAGAGGGGGAAGCAAAAGAGAGTTTGGTGTCTTTTTGCACTATTTGCTCACTCCATTGGAGACAGAATTTTTCTAAAGCAAATAGTGTTTTTCTCCCACTGGAGAACATGATAGTGCAGTGCTTAATTGTCTTTCCCATTTGATCTATGATTGGCCATTTGTAGACATTTTTCTATCAGAGATAGTTTGTGTTTGAAATACTTATTTTTGCTTTTTACGGTAAAATTTAGTTGGGGAGGGATGAAGATGGGGTGGGTGAACAAATAGTAAACTTTATTGCTATTGTTTTTTATGAATTACCTATCTTTGATGTTAAAAAAGAATTATGGTTGAACTATGTTTAAGTTTTATGTGTGCCTTGTAAGATTCTTGTGAAATTTTTTGTAAGCACTTTGAGATGTTTTGCGTGTGGGGAAGGGGTGTTTTGTGAAAGTGATGGTTATTTATTTATTTATTCCTGTTCATTTAGCACAGAGTGATCTCATAACGTTTCTAGGTGAATGTCTGTTTGCATGATGTGCTTAAACAATTTCAGGAAAAAGAAATCTTTTTTTAAATGCAGGCATGACAAAGTTAAGTGTTGAATTTATTCATTTAAACATTCACTTTTAGTTGTTTGTTTTTCTATATGATGGGGAAAATGCAAAATGTTTGTCTTAAGCCTCTTCATTTACTGCATTTTTGAATAAAAGATCTTGGAGAGGTAGTTGTTACTTTGGTATAAGAGAAAATCCTTTCTTTTTTTTCCTTGGATGTAACTATCATATATGTTTACATAAGAAATAATAAACTGGAGATGGGAATGGAGAGCTTTGTGTTTTGTGTACATCTATGAATTTTGAAAAAGGAAACTATTTCTCCTGGCTATTCATTCATTCAACAAATACTTATGGAGTGCTTACAATATCTAAGTTAAGTATACCAACAAAAATTCCTGCTCTCATGAAACTTAAATTCTACTGAAGGGAGACAAAATTTGTGAATAAAATTAATGTAATGTATTTCTCAGATTTTGGAAATGGAGAAAATAAAGCAGGGAGTGCAAGGGAAGGGAAATTCTGATTGTAATTTTAAATATAGTGAGTGGTCAGGCCACCTTTGAAAAATCTTTTCAGATCATGTACAACTATCCAGTAAAATGGAAAGCGTACACACACACCCATCACTAGTTGAATGGAAAACTGAACCAAATGAACCATTGTTGGGAACCTATAGGATTGGCATATATTTCATAAATAGAAGAGTATGAAAAGGATAAAAATGTGTGGGAGAATAGTCTTTGGTGTGGCCATTGAATTTTTAAAAATTGGTATTTTTTTCATCTTCTAGGCAGTAATAACCATATTTATTGTGAAGTTCATTATAGTTTATAAACTTTTTCCATATGTCTTCTAATTCATGGTGGGTTTGCTTCCATAGAGTCTTTTGTTGGATATCTGGTTTCATATTGGAAAGTGCCTTGAGCTTAATTGCAACTCATGACCATTTTCTTAATCTGAGTTTTTCAGTTTCTCATCAGGAACAGAATACATAGTATCTGCCTTTTAGGATTATTTTGATGAGTAAATGAAATATAAATGAAAGTAAAAATAGTAAAAATGAAAATTTTATTAACACAGGACCTGGCACATAGTAAGTTAGCCATAAATATTAATTCCAAGCCTATTTCTTCCGATATAAAAACAGTGAGAATAATTTATACCTTGAAGTTTACTGTGAAAAATCCTGCAACAACTATTTATGAAGTTATTAGTGCCAAAATTTGTGCTTGAATTTTGATGCCTGCGAGCTTCTGAGAAACTCAATTTTCTCGTTAATAAAGAGGTGTGCATTATTGCCTGCCAAACAAATGCTCTCTTTTTCTTTCATTTTTTAAATCAGGGAGATCGGTTGGCACCTAGAGGGATTGAAGGATGGGGTCAGCATCTGATTGTGGGAGAGTGATAAGATTGTAATGCAAATGTATCAGATTAAGTTAAATGAATATCACGATTTTCACGAATATCATGAGGGCAGTCAGACACTAACTCAAACCAATGTCCAAGAGGCTGGCTCAAGGAGAAGATGAATGTGCTGGGAGTTTCCCATAAGCCCCTTCGGCTTGCCTAGGCATCTTAACAGCACCTCCCACCTTATTCCAGTTTTCCCATGTCACGTGATGAGGGTGGTTCGGCTCCAGCGGAGGGAAGCTAATGCGCGGTCCAGGTGGCTGGAGCTACTACGCTTTCCTTCCACCGCCCTTACTCCCGGTTTTGCGTGATCTCGCGTGATGTGGGGAGTATCTTCTCGCGAGAGTTAGGTCTGGCTCCCTCCAGGTCCGCCTCCATGGTGAAGAGGCGGTGGTGGAGGAGGAGGTGGAGGGAGGAGGAGGAGGCCCCGTCGCGGCCTCCGCCGCCGCCAACGGGGCTGTCCCTGTAGCTCCCGATGGAGTTTGAGGTCGTGAAGCCGCCGCCGAGCTCTGCCCCGGCGAGACGAGGCGCCTCTGTCGCCGAGCCGCGCCGCCGCGGGGCTCCCGGGAGCGGCCCTTAGCGACCCCGCCCGGGCCCCCACAGGTAGGGCGGGGGCGGGCACGATGCAGCTTGGGCCCCAGTCCGGGTCCCTGGTCCCCGGCGATCGATCGGGCGGGAGACCTATGTTAGCCCGGGGCCTGTGCCCTGTCGTTGTCGGTGCACAGAGGGTTGGGAACTGAGGGCCGCACCTGACACCCCAACCGGGAGTCCGGAGATCAAGGAGGCCCCCGGCCTTGGTCGGGTTCTTTCAATGCCGAGGCCTGGCGCAAATGGCCACCTCCCTTCGCCTCCTGCGGAGGGGCCGCCTCTGACCCCTAAGCAATCCACCCGAGCAAAGGCCAGGCTCCCCTTCCCTTTCCACCCCAGTTAGTAAGAGGGGCGTTGGAGGAGGTTCTCGAACCCAAGTACCCTTCTAGCTTTTCGGCTTTCCGCCCTGAGGCTTCCCCGGATCCTAACGCAGGGATGGTGGCGGCGGTCTGAGTAGTAAGCGGGGACCCTGGCCAGACAATGCCCTGGGAGAGCTCAACCTCCCGGGAGGGAGAAGGCCGGCCCGGAGGGGTCGCCCAGTGCATGTGACGGGGCGCTGGCATGACACGGAGCCAGGGAATTCTGCTGCGGCTTTCTTCCCCTCTTGCATTTTTCCTTCTTGGGGAAGCCTCTTAAGGGGAGACTCTTCCACCATCTTAGAAAAATGGTAGAAAGCATCTTTGTTTCTCAGATGCAGAGCTACTTTTCTGTGTCCGTAGCTTTCGGAAAGGAGATGAGGGTAGCTGTCATTTACCTCTTTCGAGTCACAATAGAGTTGCAAGATACCAGTAGGTAGAACCTTGACACCAAGAGTCTCAAGTAATCACTGACATAAAGTAGAGCTAATCTCGTGATTCCCTACCGGTTTTATTTATTTATTTTTTTATAACCACCTACGTTCCCTTTTCATTCCTTCTCTCCATGTACCCAGACCCTCTCTTTTTAATCCCTATTTTCCCACCCGCTGCGATTAGGACTTTGTATCCCAAATAAAGTGCTTAACGGATCCTTTCCATTTTTGTGTTAGTCAAACTTTTAAGTTCCAGTAGGAACTTTGGGTTAACCTGAGAAAGCCAATGTTGCTGTACTAAACGGCTATAATTTCCCAAAAGCAAAGAAACAAATGTTTTAGTTAGCCTGTGGAGCCTTTTTATAGTTATACAAATTTAGTTAAGGCTTCTTGAAACATTAGGAAGAGTTCTCCCATCGTTACCTTCTTTTATCTGCCTAAAGAGCTACACCACTGTTCTAACACAACATCCCTTGTCTGTGTACTTCCACATTCAGTTCTTGAAGAAATAGAGACCATTTTTTCCCAACGTTGCCATTTTTGTCGGAGATTCTTGTTTTAAGAGTTGTGGAGTTTGGAAATTTGCTAGAAAAAAAACCAATGTTAAACATATATTCCAAAAGCAGATGTTGTAATTCAAGCTGGCTCCTATTCTTTGAGCATTTAATTGCTGTCGTGTTGATTAGTGAATCCTTTGAGTTACTCCTGATCTGTTATTACTGTTGTGTTCACCTGACATGCAAAAATACTTTATGTCCTTTGTTTATATGTTTTCATTAATTCACTTTCTGCTTTTGTAGTTTGCTGTCTTTTAGTTTGAAAAAATTTAACAAAAATTCTTTTGGGAGGGAAAGTATTTTTCTTTACACAGAATTTTATATTAAAAAAATAGAACTTCTGTATTGTATGTAATATCTAAGAATGCTAAGTAAACTTACAACAAGGCTTTATCATGATGAGTACTTGCATATTGTTTTGGACTGAGTTGAAGTTTCACTTTCTACTGATGTGAAAAAGGAAGCATGTGGTCAAATAAAGCTAGCTGAAAATTAAAAATAATGTTTTGCACCCAGTCTTATATCTATTGTAAGTTATATCTTTAATAATCCTCAGGGTTTTCTAGTTTTATGAAAACCTTCTTAAGTGTAGGTGTGACTTTCACCCCAAATTCTCAATAAAGTTTACTTTTGAGTATTATTTTTAATTTTAAGGAGAATTTCATTGTCCAATACTAGCTAGTAGTCTCATGTAGCAGTTGAGCACTTGAAATATGGCAGGTATGAATTGAGATGTGCTGAAAGTGTAAAATGCACACAAGTTTTTCAAAACTTAGTACAACAACAAAAAAAAGAATTTAAAATATCTCACTAATTTTTACATTGATTACATGTTAAAATGATACCTTGTATAAATTAGGTTAAAGAAAAGATATTAAAATTAAATTTACCTGTTTTTTCCGTTTTTAATATGACTGCTAGAAAATTTTAAATTACTTGTGGCTTGCATTATTTCTATTGGACAGTGCTGTTCTAGAGGATCTCTTCCAATAAATAAATTACCTGAATTAAAAGACATGAAAACCAAAAATTTCAAGTCTAATCATCACTAAAGAAGCAAAACTGTATTGCTTATATTAATTAAAATAAAGAATTATTTCATTACTGTTCTTTTGGAAGACACTGAAAGTTAAAAACCTCATACTTAATAAAAAACCAAGTTCAACCCCATAGTGAGCTGAAGTAAAACTTGAGTCAAAAATCTTTCCTAACTTAGGCTAAAGTTACATAGCAGTCTTTAAAATGGTAATTCTGTTCCTTTTGCTCCAATCCTTTTGATATGTTTGAATGCTTAGTTTTAGTTGGTTTTGTTTGTTTTGTAGGTTAAGGTCTAAATTGTACTTAGGATGCTTTAAATACTATTTTTAAGTCCAAAAGTAATTATTTTAAAGGTTTTAAATACTGTTATAGGTCCATTTCAGTAGCTTAAATTCTTCACATGGGTAAACTAGAATGAAAACTGAGTGTTTTAATTAACAGACCTGAGCCCTAATTTTACACCTTTATAAAATAATGTATATATTTATACAATAGTGAAAGAGGCATAAACATTATTCTGGCATTTTAAAATCAGATATCATAGTCATAAACTAGCTGCACAATATCATGGCAGTCTGTTATGAGAAAATGAAAGTACTTAGCTGGTATGCAGTTTGCTTTTAAAGCAGTTTATAATTTGCATCATATGAGACTTATAGTCTTAAAAATTACTTGAATAAAAATGTGTTTAAGGTCCCACCTTTAATGTTTCTCACTCCTATGCTTTATCGTTTTACTCATCTTCAATTTTAGTAACTAATAACTAAAGTTAGTTAAATACAAAAAAATTAATTAGAATGTTTTTCTTAAGTAGTCCCTTTGCATATCTAGAGTTGTGAGCTTTTTAATCCATTTTACCTCAAGTTCAGATATTTTGGTAGCATTTT